ATGGGGCTCTGTGAGTTGGAATAGACGGGGGGATAGATCACACATGGGCTCTGTGAGTTGGAATAGACGGGGGGATACATCACACATGGGGCTCTGTGAGTTGGAATAGACGGGGGATACATCACACATGGGGCTCTGTGAGTTGGAATAGACGGGGGATACATCACACATGGGGCTCTGTGAGTTGGGATAGACGGGGGATACATCACACATGGGGCTCTGTGAGTTGGGATAGACGGGGGGATACATCACACATGGGGCTCTGTGAGTTGGAATAGACCGGGCAGCAGCTAACAACAACATGTCACAGGGTTGTCCACGTCCAGCGTTCGTTCTTCCTTTGTTAATGGTGAATGCACTCAGCTACCAGCCCCACTAAGGTTGCTTTGAAGAGAGGCCGGGAGATCTGCTTCTGAAACACCAGCCACTGAGCAGCTTATGGAGCCAAGTTCTGCTTTGACACACATGTGGTCACCGTGAGTCAGAATCAGTTCCACAGAAACTAGTTGGCTCTTCATTGCTTCCCGAGAAAGAGTCTAACACAGGCAATAATAATAATAACTTGTATATCTGGAAATGCTTTTCTTTTCCCATTTTGATTTTGGTGGATGTAGAATTTTAGGTTGGAAGTAACGTTCCCTTACATTGTGTAGGCATTTCTGCATTGGCTTCAAAATTTCTAGTGTGGAGCCAACACTGTTTTGATTCCCAGTCCATTATTTATGGTGGTGATGGTTGTGTGCCACCAATTCGGTTCTAACTTACAGTGACTCTGTATAGAGTTTCCAAGGCTATACATTTTTTGTTGTGGTTAAGTGCCATCGAGTCAATTCTGACCCTGCCGACTTTGCAGTTCAGACGGCTTTGCAGTCTGGCACATAGTAGAAAGCCTCATCTTTCTCCCGAGGAGCGACTGGTAGATTCGAACTACTTGCCTTGCGGTTAGCAGCCAAGTTCGTAATCCACTGTGCTACTGCAGCATCTAATCCTTTGTATTGTTAAGTGCTGTTGAGTTGCTTTTGACATATAGTGCCCCTATACAGGGTTTCTGAGGAGCGGCTGGTGGGTTTGAAGAACCAGTCTTTCGGTTGGCAGTCTAGTGCTTATCCTACAGTGCCACAAGCCTTTGTATAGGACTCAAATTTTTTTTTTTTTGAATGTTTATTGTGAATTATGTGATAGTTTACATTGGAGAACATTAGCTTTACATTCATCCTATTGTATATCATTTCATTGCCATGGTTACATTCCCCTCCATGCATCATCAACCAACCAAAGGGTATACCCTGCAAGCCTGCCCCCCGGTCGTCAGCACCCAGCCCCTTTCCCTCTCTGGGTCTAGAGCACCCAGGCGCTCCATCTCTCCATGTCATCGTCTCCACCACCATCTTTGGCGTCACTGCTTCTCTGGGTAGGGTCCCGCTCTCCACTCTTCTTCCTTGATGGTTCCAGGGACCTCAGCTCCTAGACTGCAAAGTCAATCACTCCC